CGATGTCCAGGCCTAGGACAGCGCTGTCTAGGTGATTTTCAGCAGATCCAATTTTAATCAAATCCCACAAATTGTGCCAATCACCCCTTAAATGTTTTGGTTCGTTGGAGCCTACTTTTCCACTATAAAATCGGATGTTTGGGTCTGTTTTACATATCACATTACTTCACAACTTCTACTCTTTCATTGCAAATCATCCTTCAATTTTTCATAGCTTTTGAGAGCCATTTTTGTGAAGCTTGTGTTGTGTTCTTGAGCGTTCTTAGTTTACTCATTATTCACTCTTAAAGAGAGTATTGTTCTTGAGTGTTTTTAGTGTTCTTAGACACTTGACAAGAGAAAGTATTTCTCTTGTTGCTCGAAGGAAGGGCTGTTTCCTTCGAAGGTTCGTTGAGGTTCGTGTGACTCGAATTCTCAAGTTGTACGGGTTTGTTAAGCACCGTTAAGCTTAACGAGATAGTAGTGTAGCTCGAGAGAGTCTCTCGGGAGGCTGGATTAGCCACAAGTTGTGGTGAACCAGGGTAAAATCGGTGTGCCTCTTACTCTTCTCTTTACTTCTCGTTTATTCATTTTTTATTCCTGCGATTTTTGATCAAATGCTATTCACCCCCCCCCCTCTAGCGTTGGTCTATTATTCTAACACTAAGAGTAGCTCATTTGAGTTAGTGGGATACTCAGATTCTGACTTTGCCGGATGCAAGGTTGACCGGAAGAGTACATCTGACACTTGTCAATTCATTGGCGGAAAGTTTTCAATCATAGAACCATAAGACTTGTAAGTCAGGTTTTTTAAATTAACACAGGGAAAAAGAATCATAGCATCACTAATGTCTGGAAAAAAGATAAGAGTAGGAATAAACATAGAAAACATATAAAAAAAGAGATTTATATATTTATTACCAAAATAGAAGTTCCAATGTCAATAATATCAAGATATTCTACCAACAAATTATGCAATGTATGACATTATGCAATGTCAGTATATAGTGCGACATTATCACAGTATAAATTCCTAATTTGAAAATTAAAATATGACACTACTATTTTGATATTTTCCCTATATTTCACTTCTATTTTGATATTTTCCCTCTCTTTCACTCCTATTTTGGATAGTTTAAACTTATATTTTTTTTGATATTTTTATTGAATTATGCAGGGAGAATAATGATAGTTTTATAGAAATTTAGTAAACTTATATCATTTATATTTGATGTTCAAATGGTATGCCCCATAAAATATCAAATAATCTTAATTGTTTAACATTATAGAATATCAGATTTTTGGGTTTTTGATCCCCAAATTTCATAAATTTGATTGCCCAATAATAGGTATGTTGATACAGACGGATTAATTAATAATCTATATTATTTAGTCAATTAGATAGTTTTATTATTTTTATTGTTGAGTGGAATTATAACACTCCTTCGAGGGTTTCTTTTCGGTTCTTTACCTCGACGCTTTTATTGAACCGATAGGCTTAGGAACTAAGTATTTACTAGGGTTAGGGTTTACCATCTTCATCTATATATTGAGTTGTAACCTCTTTTACATTATATACTAAGTATTTACTATCGCTCCTAAACCCTAATCTCTCCCTCTCTTTCTCTAGCCGCACAGCTTTCTTCCTCACCTCCTCTACTTTCTCTCATCTTCTCTCAAATTCTTCGCTTTCTTTCCCCAATTTCTCAATCCCCCTTCTCTATTTGATACGTTACCGTATCAATTGGTACTCTCATTTTCTTGAACTCCCAAAAAAATTAGTGTTTTTGTGTTACTGCACCAGGATAGCCGACACCTTACACGAAGTAGTGCCACGCCGTAGTTCAATTTCATTGCACAACTTCTTTCTTTTGCACGAGTGGGGTGGATTTGCAACAAAAAAAACAAAGGAAACAGAAAAAAACACAAGGTGTGTTTTCGGCAAATTTGCATAGTGCAATTTCAGAATTCATAGTGATGTTTTCCATGTCTTGTATTTGATTTTGCCACCAACAACGACTTTTGCACCAAAATTGGTGATTCAATTTGGCCGCCTGGATTTTTGCCCAAGCCCACAGTTCCTCTCTGTAGATTTTTATGGCAGGAAAATCTTGGACTAAGACACCACCTTCTACCACTTCGTCTTGGAATGATGTTTGGCTCGCCGTCAGGGATCTCACCCTCGAGATTCACACTCTTCGACGGGAAGAGGCTAATCTCTATCAAAAGATTGATCATCTTTGTTCATTCTTGGAGTGTCAACCGACCCATAAGTCACAACCATCGGCACTACTAAGGTCTGACCCTAGTTTTCCATATGACTCACCCTTTCATGCCTTAGTTGATGATCGTGCTCTCGAACGAGAATTTGCAACGTGGTTCTATAAGGTTACACGAATTCGCCATACTGGTCAACCGTCCAACATTAAACAAGCAACAAGCAAAGAGCAGTCGAGTGACTAGGTTGAAGAGCTCCCGTCATTCACAACCAAAGAGGAGATTATTGATTGTGTGGGTACATCTCATGACGTTCCTCTTAATGCTTCTGCTAATTGTGACAAGAAATTTGAGATGGACATAAGCATGATGGACTCGTTTGTATTGCCAATCAAGGTTTCTCACCATAGGGTCCTCCCATTGACAGGCATGATATCAAGAGTTAGGACTCCTGTTTTACTTGAGGGTGGTAGCGGGCCGCATTCAGTTTATTTCGAGACACCCTGCCGCATCTCCTTGCTTGAAATTATTTCTTTGCCTTGCCAAAAATATGGGGATTGGTTCAAAGGTGGACAATTTCTTTTGTTTGTCATGCTGTCTCCTGTTTTGATGCTTTAATGGGATCCCCCACCGTACATGGCATGTGCGAAGTCATTGCGCACCTTTTGTTTTCATATCTACACCTTGAGGACAAGGTGTGTCTCTATCAGGGCGGCAGTGATACAGAAGGATTAATTAATAATTTATATTATTTAATCAATTAGATAGTTTAATTATTTTTATTGTTGAGTGGAATTAGTTATAACACTCCCTTGAAGGTTTCTTTTCGGTTCTTTACCTCGAAGTTTTTATTGAACTGATAGGCTTAGGAACTAAGTATTTACTAGGGTTAGGGTTTACCATCTTCATCTATATATTAAGTTGTAACCTCTTTTAGTTTATTCATCAATGAAGAACAATAATACTATCTCTCCTAAACCCTAATCTCTCCTCTCTTTCTCTAGCCGCACAGCTTTCTTCCTCACCTCCTCTACTTTCTCTCATCTTCTCTCAAATTCTTCACTTTCTTTCCCCAATTTCTCAATCTCCCTTCTCTATTTGATACATTACCGTATCATATGTTTAGGTTCAAATTTCAATTTTGATTTATTTGTTGAACGATTAAACCATATTCCCTAGTTATATAGTCCGTATGATATAAGTGATATATGAATCATAGGGGAGATGAGATCGCTGCGTAGAATACGTACATTAGCACAAGAGCTCCTCCTACTCAACTGAAGCTAAGTTTTATTTATCCAAAAGTTTCCGTTGTGCATTTTTCTTGGGGCGTTTCAATCAATTTGCGTTTAAGAGCATTCTAAGGACAGTCTTCATCTTTAGCCTTCCCTCCGGCGAGACGCTAACACAGGCAAGGGCCACCTTCATGACAGACACCATCTGCCTCCTCCTAACGGCGGCAACAGATGTTTTACTCTCATCAAAGTCAAGAATTATGTCACCCCACTTGTTTTCCTCTCCCGACTTGCTTGAAACAATTAGCTTGGCCAACTCGCTTCCCTGACTTACCGCTGGCTTCCCTGTTAACAGTTCCAGCAGAACAACCCCAAAGCTGTACACGTTGCCAGCCATAGTCACCTTCATTGTGTATGCATATTCTGCAAGTCATCAGACAACACACACACACACACAGAATATAACACGTGCAGGGTAAGTGTTATAATATAAAAAACCTTTCTTGGGCCACAACAATAAGCTTGAGCTTTTGGTTGATTTGGTTCCATGACATGGCATCAGAGTCTTCTTCAATAACGATAGGTCACGGGTTCGAAATCTAGCGCTACCCAATTTAAAAATTAAGGTTTCACTTAAAAGGCTCAAAAAGACTACGCCTGCATTTGGTTGAGTTGGTTATTTGATAGTAAGATTTCTTTATATTAAAAAGAAAACTGTGTATCATTCATTACCTGGAGGGATGTAGCCAACTGAACCAGCAACAGTGGAAAGATTGTCAGTGCCTTTTGAAGGGTCGTCGGCGATCAAGTTGTAGACTTCAATCTCTCCAATACGGGGCTCCTTCAGGGACTTGAGCATAATGGTTTTGCTGGAGAGGTCAAGGAGAAGGATTGGGCTGCTGGAGCTACCGACGTGTAGAAATGCCAAACCTTGAGCCACTCCGATGGCTATGCTGTAGCGGCTTCCCCAATCCAGCTTGCTGCTGCCATGATGATGAAGAGCTTCATAAAGAGTCCCAGCAGGTGGAAATTCATAAAACAGATAGACACTATCTACTGTCAAGGTGTAGGCCAAGGGGGTCATGATATTCGAGTTGCTCAACTTCCCAAGCCTCTCTACCTCTCTCCCGAATCTCCCACTATTTTGTTCGAATTGGATTATTTTGTAACTATAGTTAAGCCTCTTGACCAAGTAGCTCGCACCCGAGGGCATGGCTGCTTTATAATAGGTTGATAGTTTGGTCTTCAAGACAATGTTTGAGGTTTCAGTCACGGCTTCCATCGCTTTCTTGAAGTCAATGCAAGACTTGTGGAAACCATTAGCCATTAGAAGCTTTCCACAGACAACTTGAGGTGGTTGAGAAGAAGAAGCATTTTCCCCGAAATGATAATATGTTTTCCATATTGATGGAGTTATAAACAAAATTAGAGCAGCCCCAAAACCGGCAAGTGCGATCCCAATCACAACAGCTACTGATAATATCCTCTTTGATGGCATAGGCTGAGAGTTCGGGCCAGGTTTTGGGGGAGGGAAAATCAGGCCCTTATTTCCGCGGAAATTAGATGACACATATGAAGGAAAAGTTGGAACAAGTCCGGAAAGTTGATTGTTTGCCAGTATTATCTGTGTCAAACCACTCATCTTAGTCAAGTAGTCTGGAATATGACCGGAGAGTATGTTATATGAGAGGTCTAAAACCTCCAATGCAGACAGCACAGACAAAGTGGTTGGGATGGTTCCACTGAAGAGATTGCGACTGAGATTCAGCGCAATTTGCAACTGTATTGGCATTTGTGGAATAGTCCCACTAAGTCTGTTGTTTCCAAGTTCGAGTTCCAGAAGACGATTTAAGGTGCTGACTGACTTTGGTATGGAGCCATTCAGCTTATTCTCTTTCAAGTCCAAGTTTGCAAGGTTTTTCAAGCTGGATATTGAATCTGGTATAGGGGCCGCACACACGCTAACAGAGCCAGTGAATGAATTCTAGCTCATATTAAGTCTCTGCAATTTGGAGAGGTTCGATATGTCTCTAGGGATCTCTCCGACAAGGTGGTTCATTTGGAGCTTCAGAACCTCGAGATTCGGGAGGTTCACTACCTGAACGGGTAAAGAACCGGTCAGTTCATTCTGGGCAAGATTCAACAAAGCCAACTTTTGGCACAAGAACAGCTCAACTGGTATGCTTCCATTCAAATGGTTGTTTTCCAATTCCAAGTACGTCAGATTCTGGAGGCTTCGAAAGGGTTTGCCTGGGATGGGGCCAAACAGAGAATTGTTTCCCAATCTGAGCCTATTAAGACTTGATGACATGGTTGTAGGTATGGAACCCTCCAAATTATTGTTAGACAAATCCACATACTGCAAATTTGTTGGAGATAAAAGGGTGAGTGGGATTGTCCCATTCAACCTATTGAAGCTGAGGTCTACATTAATGAGGTAAGTAGTCAATCCAGCAGGAACACTTCCAACAAAAGCATTCTGATTCGCTGCAAACCGCGAGAAGGTTTTGATTTTCCCAAGAGTGTGTGGGATTGAGCCATTTAAACTATTACCTGACAATATCAATGTATCCAACCTCGAGAGATCCCCAAGGCTTTCAGGGATTGATCCCGAGAGCTCATTAAAACTAAGGTCAACGTAAGTCAAGTTCCCATGCCTCACAATCTGAGAAGGGATTTCGCCCTCGAAGCCATTATCAGAGAGCCTAAGCTCCGACAATGCATTGGCTTTTCCAAGACTAACCGGAATGGGTCCAACGAAAAAGTTTGAGCTCATGTTCAAACTTTTGAGCGAGCTCAAGCTATCCAATTGAAGACCGACAATCCCCGACAGATTGTTCTTAGACAGGTCAAGTGATTCCAATGCACCAAACCCCTGCCTAAAGCCAGACAAAGGGCGAGTTAAAAAGTTGCCACTCAAATTCAACACTCTCAATCCCCTTATGCCCCCGCAACCAGCTATGAACCCGTCCAGGATTGAGCTCAGCTGGTTGTCAGACACATCAAGAGACTCAAGACTTTTGATCCCACAAAGAAGGTGAAAAACATCCGGCGTAGAAATGGAAAACTTGCGAAGGGAAATGGTGGTTATTGTGGAGGAAGCGTCTGGGGCGCAAGTGACGCCCTTCCACGAACACGGGTCGGAACCTATGTTTGTCCCACTCTATGCAAAGGCAGCACCAGTGTTGTTCTGAATCATGTCGTAGAGGCTAACCATGATGTTTTTCTAACCCTGAGAATACACTGTCTGCAGTAACAAATAACAGCAGCATAAGGGAATGATGGTAGTCGAGGTGATTTGGTCATACCTGATTTTCATGGTGGCTAAATGTCGGGGTGGAATTCTGTGGTGTGCTTAAATGGTGTGAGAATTCAAAGTGTTGAATATATTGGACTATCTTTACTGGGTCCGTGGGGTTCAACAAAGGGACTATAGTATGAAAATAGAAATAACAATTGCGTGTTTGGGTTGACGTTGAACAGGTGTGGGAGTTGACTAGAATTTACTCCGTAGTTGTTTGTATTTGTGGAGCAAGCAACTGGGTAAACGGGAGGACTAATCCCAGCCTCTCTTCAAAAATATCCCATCTCGAAAAGGGATTGATTTTCTCCCACCTGAGTCCCACGCCTCTTTATTTGAGGGCATGGATGCCCTTCCACTATTATTTTGACACTAGAATTCAACCCGTGCGATGCACGGAAAGATTATTATTATAATAATGCAACAATAATAATACTTTATTAATGAATAATACGGCTTATATGGGCTTATCAAACCTCCAAGAAAATAATAATAATAATAATAATAATAATAATAATAATAATAATAATAATAATAATAATAATAATAATAATAATAATAATAATAATAATAATAATAATAATAATAATAATAATAATAATAATAATAATAATAATAATAATAATAATAATAATAATAATAATACAGAGTAATAAGTTATGCACGGAGTACAATACAATAATACGACATTACTAATTTATAGATAAGTAACTCTACTCCGCTTGACACACAATAGCTAAGGATTTGGATAATAGTAATGTTTGTACTAATTTTTATCAATCAACCATGCATGATAAAAAAAAAGTTGAAAAAAAGTGAATTCTAGAAACTTCTTTATGTACAACATTTCAAGTGTGATCTAAGTACGTATTATTTTCTTCATCGCAAGTGAAGATCTACAATCATTGTTGATCTGTCACACATTGAGATAGCGATGCACAGTTGGCAATGGCTAAATGGCTAAAGACTTTTTTAAGTAGCATGCCAACATGCGATAGGGATTGTTTAAGAAACGACTGAAACATCTCTTTCTTGTTCCCAAAGAGAGAATGAAGAAAAATAAGCTTTGATCTTTTGTAGCAATACTTATAAACGTAGTATCTTGTAAGAAAACCTGTAAGCAAAAGTACTTAAGAAAAAGTTGTTGGCTTCTTGTATGTGACAAAATATTATAATATGATTAGTTTTTTGGCACTCACTCCCTCTTTTAGAGTAGAAAAGGGCTAAATCTTTCAAACAATAAGAGGCACATGAATAAGGATGTGCAAAGGAGGACAATGTGTGTATCAATCAATGCCTAACTAATTGAAAAAAAATTGCTTCTAAAAACTGGAGCCTATTGAAAATAGTAGCATTTCTAGCTCACTACTTTACTACATCTAATGAATGGAGCATGTTACAAATAGCAACTTGTTACAATCAATGCCTAACTAATCTAAAAATATTGCATCTAAATTGGATCTATAAACAGTTCTAAGTCATTATTCCAACCCTAAAAAATTTTAAAAACACTTCACAGAATAAAATTTAAATCAAGGCTAGGCGACATAAATAAAGTACATTATGTTTAAGCTAGATGCCTTCTCAAACTTGCCAGTGATTTCACCAACCTAAAAGCACTTAGATATTTCTATCTTCTCATTTCAAAAATCATTGTACCTAAAAACCTCTTCCGAATATGTGCACAAAGAATCAAGAGAAACACCAAAGTATGAACCATTTACCGGATTTACATCACTAACAGTATTGAACTACAGATTTGTACGTTTACCTAAATGGTGTCGCTATTGAGGATCAAAGGAGAGTGCAATGACACCACATTGAGGCAGGCGATTGGATTTGGTTTCTGTGATGCTTATATTTGCAGACTTACATTTGGTTTCTTTGCCATACTTCTCTTCCTTTTACATATAGTAAAAACTAACAATAGTTTCATTGATGTGTCTCGAGCTAGTTGAAGCAGATCTATATCTCTCTTACAAATTCTTATTAATGGGAATAGCACTGGGATTACTTTTAAGATAAAGAAATTCATTAAAGGGTTCTTTAGAGCTGTATCCAAGCAATTTGAGAAATTACTTAAAATGATATAAAGCTTAAAATTATATCTTCATTCTCTGAACAGATTTTTTGGGGGCTTCTTTAAAAATGAAGGAGAAGCAATATTCTTACACAGAATATTAAAAAATCACATAATAGTTCCATTGAATTTGGAATAAAAAATGAATTCAACAATATACTCTGTAGGTTGTTTGAGAAGCACATATTTAAAAATATATCAATTCAAAAAAAATGAATTCAAGAGTAAGAAAAATTACCACAAAAAGCAACATTGGAGGAGATGACGCAAGTTCAAATTAGTGGAGAGTATTGTCCTGGAAGAAAATCTCTCCCAATTTGGCTCTCTCTAGCTCAATTTCTGCATTGTGGTACTATGCAATGACATACAACCCTGTGAACTTCTAAACATCCCCTTGTTCAAGTGGCAAAAATGAAAGAATTAAGAGAAAGATTGATTGCTTCTAGAGGTTAGTTCATAGTGGATAATTTGACAGTATATGTTTTTTTAACTAATTGAAGCATTCTTTCAGTGTTGGGATTGATTAATTAAAAAGAAAAAGAAAAAGAAAAAAAAGGAATATGCATGCATACACATAATGCATGTGAAGTGGACCCATGATGCCATGCATGTGAAGGGGGAGCTAATTGTCTCCTTCCCTTGTTTTTGGTGGTGTACGAAAGTAATGGGATGGGGATGTTTTTTTTGGCCTTCACCTCTTATAAGAGGAATCTTTTTCTTTATATTTGGGTGTGAGTTTACACACGGCCTAGAGAGAAAAAGAAGAGGAAGGTTAAGAGAGAGGTCTACACAAGATATCACCAACATTGTGTGAATGAGTGTAGGGAGTAATTATTATTTAGTTACTCGGAAAATACATCCGGGTGTAGGGTGTGAAAAGTCTGTTTATAAGTGTCTGGTATTAGCACTTGTAAAGAGAGAGAGTTTTTTGTGTATCGTTCTGAAATAGTGAAGATATAATTTTTCTCTCATATTTTCTTCTTGTGTAGTGTGTTTATTATTTTTCACGTTCTTGATACTTTAATAGTCTTACGCGCTTAAAATCTCAACAATTGGTATCAGAGCCAAGTTACATTTGGGGCGGAGGGATTTTTAAGCGGTAAGAGAAGAAAGTCGAAGAACTTGAAAAATGGCATCGGTAAAAAGTTCGAATGTTTCCGTCGAACCTTTCGATGGACGTGGCGATTTTACTCTGTGGCAACAACGAGTAAAAAGTGTTCTAACTCGGGAAGGGACAATCAAAGCTCTGAAGGTGAAGGTTCAGAGGACAGAAAAAATGACAGATGCTGAGTGGGCCAAACCCCGGAAGAACGACAAACCGGAAAAATTGTCGGAAGAAGAGTGGGACGATTTGAAGGACATGGCAACAAGTACAATATGCCTATGCCTTGCAAATAATACTCTTCGGGAGGTTCTCGGTTTGACGGACCAAGTGGATATTTGGGACAAGCTGGAGAGCCGGTACAAGTCGAAATCGTTGACAAGTAGGCTATACTTGAAGAAACGATTGTTTGGTATCCAAATGGCGGAGGAAGCTAACTTTAATGGACACCTGGATGAATTCAACAAGATTACAACAGTGTTAGAATCCATTGATGTGAAGATTGAAGAGGAGGACAAGGCGCTGCTTTTGTTGGCTTCATTGCCTTCATGTTTTGACAACATCGTGACCACGCTTTTGTTTGGAAAAGAGACCTTAAAATTTGATGAAGTAGTTTCGGCGTTGTTGATGAACGAGACTCGGCGGGGTGGCAACGGGGTATCAAATGACGGTCAAGCTTTGGTAGCAAAAGGAGCTGGTCGGGAACGAGGACGGTCTAAAGAGAGGGGCGGCGCGTTCCAACGCTTCAAATCGAGTAGTAAAAGCTTTTGGTGTTACTACTGCGATGAAGAGAGTCATTTCAAAAGGGATTGTCCTAAGAGAAGGAAGGAAAAGGAGGACGGGAAAACACCCGTGACTGCGGTTGCAGAAAGTTCGAACCAAGCAAGTGAAGAAGACTTGTTTTTGCCCCACGCTTTTGTTTGGAAAAGAGACCTTAAAATTTGATGAAGTAGTTTCTGCGTTGTTGATGAACGAGACTCGGCGGGGTGGCAACGGGGTATCAAATGACGGTCAAGCTTTGGTAGCAAAAGGAGCTGGTCGGGAACGAGGACGGTCTAAAGAGAGGGGCGGCGCGTTCCAACGCTTCAAATCGAGTAGTAAAAGCTTTCGGTGTTACTACTGCGATGAAGAGAGTCATTTCAAAAGGGATTGTCCTAAGAGAAGGAAGGAAAAGGAGGACGGGAAAACACCCGTGACTGCGGTTGCAGAAAGTTCGAACCAAGCAAGTGAAGAAGACTTGTTTTTGGCAACCACAAAGAGTCTAAGTAAATCTGATTGGATATTAGATTCGGGTTGTTCGTTTCACATGTGTTCAGTTAAGGAACAGTTTGATACGTATCAAACTTGTGATGGGGGTGCTGTGAAGATGGCAAATGGTGCACGGAGCAAGATTGCGAGGGTCGGAAAGTGCAAGTTTGCATCTTTGATGGCGTGGTGAGAACATTAACTGGAGTGAAACATGTACCGGGTCTAAAAGGAAATTTGATTTCATTGGGGGCTTTAAATTCAGAAGGCTGCCGAATTTTTGCTCAAGGTGGAGTGTTAAAAATTTCTAGGGGAGCAATGGTGGTAGCAAAAGGAGTTTTGTTAAAAGGCTTGTATAAACTTGTTGAAAAAGATTTGACACGGAAGTTGTCAGAAGGAAAAATTACAAGTGCAACAAGCAGAGCATTTGCATGGAAGAAGCGGGTGACGTTTGAAGCTTCTCGGATTGGTGGATACTGTGACCTCGCCGGAATGAGCGGGGTGGAGCCGGACCATGGTTTGATTAATTAATCAAGGTGGAGTTTGTTGGGATTGATTAATTAAAAAGAAAAAGAAAAAGAAAAAAAAGGAATATGCATGCATACACATAATGCATGTGAAGTGGACCCATGATGCCATGCATGTGAAGGGGGAGCTAATTGTCTCCTTCCCTTGTTTTTGGTGGTGTACGAAAGTAATGGGATGGGGATTTTTTTTTGGCCTTCACCTCTTATAAGAGGAATCTTTTTCTTTATATTTGGGTGTGGGTTTACACACGGCCTAGAGAGAAAAAGAAAAGGAAGGTTAAGAGAGAGGTCTACACAAGATATAACCAACATTGTGTGAATGAGTGTAGGGAGTAACTATTATTTAGTTACTCGGAAAATACATCCGGGTGTAGGGTGTGAAAATTCTGTTTATAAGTGTCTGGTATTTAGCACTTGTAAACAGGGAGAGTTTTTTGTGTATCGTTCTGAAATAGTGAAGATATAATTTTTCTCTCATATTTTCTTCTTGTGTAGTGTGTTTATTTATTTTTCACGTTCTTGATACTTTAATAGTCTTACGCGCTTAAAATCCCAACATTCAGTTTAAAATCCAAGGAAAGAAATTGTTTAACATAAATACCATGATGTCTACGATGTAGAAAAATGTTTGTAGCCAAGATATAAAATGAACAAAGCCATGACATCAAAAGCTCTTGTTCTTGACTATTTCAGAGAGGAACTAAAGTATTACCAAAAATTGAACATATAGGTGTTGAAATTTGCATATGCATATTTGTCGCTGGGTAAACGCGGCGTAAGATGATGAGCACCTTCGTCCTTTGTCTCTTCTTGTAAGGGCGAATGGAAGTAGAACTCGAAAGCAGACGGTCGGAGAAGAGAGATCGTTGATGTCGGGGCTAGGGTTTCAAATTCTAGCCCCCTGCCATGGATTCCGGCGAGTTGCTAGCAGAGAGAGCGTGACGGTCGGAGAAGAGAAATCGTTGATCATTGATGTAGGAGGAACAAAAACGGCAACAATTAGGAATATACTCCTTCGACGTGGTGAGATCGTGGTTCCGCCTCCCTCTTCTTCAATCAAATTTTATAGTCTTCTGGTTTCAATCAGATTAATGCTCTGGCCCCCTCCCTCTTCTTCAAATTATACATAAACAGTTTCTAGAAAGTGATGTGCTTGAAATAGTGGGAGGCTGGGAGGATGCGTTGTGCGTGAAACTCTCCATGGGATAACCGATGCCTAAGAATCTGAGATAAATGTTCGCGCCCAATGCAACCAACCCAATCTTTACCCGGCCCAACGCACAGGAAGCGGCCCAGAAATTTAGGCGGGACTTTTTTCCTGCTACTCTTTAAATTTATGAGTATTAATTTTCTCAATTATATCCTTTAAAATCCCTCGTCCTTTTCTCATTCTATATTTTCTTAAACTTATTTATGTTTTTTTGTTAAAAAAAGGTAATTGATGGATACCCCGGACACGGGGTATCCGGTCTTTATATAATATTAGTTGAGGCGGTCCAGTCTGTTGGACCGACCCATTAGTTGTATGTTAATTATTTATTTAAGGGTGGCCCATTTTGTTGGGCCGGCCCATTATTCGTATATTTGTTATTTAGGGCGGTCCAGTCTGTTGGGCCGGCCCATTAGTCTGAAACCCTAGCCCTCATTCTCCTTATTTATACCCTCTTCTTGGAAGAGGGGAGGAGGGGAAAAAGAGGGAGGCTCTACATTATTCATATTCTTCATCTAATCTACACCATATTTCTCCTTTTTCTTACCCTTGGGTTCCATAACCCAACATTGGTGCTCTCGTTGAGAGTGTTGAACACATCAAGCGTGCTCTCTTCCATTTTCTTTGGATTTCTTTTTCCATTTTCCAAGTTCCTCATTTTTTTCCCTGAATCTGGAAAATAGATCGGAGGATTCCAAACTCCAACTGGCAACAGGGGATTTCAAACTCCAGTTTAGATTTGAACGGAGCTGGGGAGGACGCGACCGGCGAAGCTCTGTATTTCGATCGGGTTTGGGAAACGCCGTCGACGACGACGACGCCGCCCATCTGGCTATGAGAAATTTTCGGCCCGACGCTTTGAAGCCCCTGACCACCGTCGACGACGCCCAACAGCGTTCCAGCGGCTTCGGCTGCTCCGGAATTTGGTTGTAGATCTGCTGCACATCTATCATCCCAGGGGCCAGTTGACGACCACTCCAATGACTCCGATGCACGGCGTCCCTCCTCTACGCAACTAGTAACGAGGACGAAGGCCGTTGACTCTAGAGCTGTGACGAGCTCTGTCGATGGCGTGACACTGCCGGCGACGAGCTCCGTCAGTGAGTTTTTCAGCGTCCCAATTGCAGTGAAATCCAACGGCGAGGTGTTCCGATAGTTCACGAATCAGCCGGCGACGATGGAGCACCTCCTGTAACGCCCCGAAAATAGGCCTATCAGAATTAATTAATTGATAATTAACTAATTACTGAGAAGGACCCAAAAATAAGTAAATTCTAAAGTTTGTCAATAATTAATAAAAATTATATCGTTGTGTAGAGTTTGACTGTCTGACCCCAACGGTTCAATCGGATTTCAATTTAGAGAAAGTTGGACCAAAAAGTGTACCCCAACTAGGACCAAAAATTAGTCCAATCAGGGACTACACACCAAATGGCACCCTGTTCAATTACGCCGATTCCAAAATGCAAATCGCCGCACAATCACGGAAGCAACCAAGCCTGTGTCTTCTTCTTCTCCACTGGCCTATTTAAGCACAACTCAACTCCCTCAATTTCTCACCAAAAACATTCATTCTTCCTCATATATTGTTCCTTACTGAGAGTAGAGTGCAGTGGTGCTATCATCTTTGTGTGAGGTCGCCGGAGCAGTGAGATAGAGTCGCCGGAAGTTTCGCGAGAAAATCGTCAAAACCTCCCTTACGCTTCAAAGTAAGCCCGTAGATATATCTAATGACTAGAAAGTTCATATAGGTCGTTTCTACGTTCATAAATGGTCATTTGGTTGAGTTTTATGTTTGACATGTTTGAAGAACCAAGAATCAAAATCGTTGAAATTGTTGTTAAAACTACAAACTAATGATACTTAAATGATCTATGAACATTGGAGAACATTTCTATACAGTTAATTGAAGTTTGGTGAACTAAAAATGAAATTTCCGAAACCAGACCCGAGGAGGAAGACGATGAACAGTGTACGGTAGACTCCTACCGCCGGTACGGTAGATAGGTACCGTCCAAACGGTACCCACCTACCGCCGGAACGGTAGGACACTACCGTCGCCACTCAAGCTCTTCTAGCGGTACCTGACGGTGCCCTCTACCGCCGGCACGGTACCGAGGTACCGTTAGCCGGTACCGAGGTACCGTGAAGGGTACCGTCTGATTCGATTATTTTTTAGAAAATCCAATTTTTGAACCACAAAATCCTATTTTTAATACCAATTGATTATGATTATTATAAAAATGATTTTTCCTATTAAAAATGATGTTTTTAATAAATTGAAACATTACGTGATGCATGACGGTGAGTTCGGGTGTTAACACTCGAGACTAGGCCGCTATTTGTTATTAAACGTTATGTTGAATGATCGTTATGATAAATAAATGTTATGGATGATAAACCTACTGATTAGGATTATTATTAATGATTAAATCATTATTAAAATTGAATATAATGATGATCACGAAATCAGTGTGTTGTTAAGGCTATCTCGAAGACCTCTAAGATAGACCTCAAATTAGATTGGGCCTTGCGGGTATAAATATGTATATTCGGTGGCCTTGGGTAAAAACGTACGTACGGGATCCATAAACCAAACTAGAGGAACTCGTTTGGGGATACCACCCAACCCGACAGTTAGTATTCTACTGTTCGGTTTTCTGGATTTATACCTTAAGCGAAGGCTAGTTTAAGAGTTGGTAAATCAATCGGAATATGTACCTTAAACTAATGACCTAGCTTAAGAGTTGGTTAGAAGTACCTTAAACTAGAATTAGTTTAAGAGTTGGTTAAGAGTACCTCGAACAAGAATTAGTTTAAGAGTTGGTAAACATCAAAAGATTGGCCTTAGACTAAGCTTAGTTAAGGATATTGTTGAATATTGAATATGAATGTTGAATATTGAAATATTGAAAATATCATGAATGAATTATACATTGTGTGCATGATATCAAATGGTTGTTTGTGAATTGAGATTCAATTTATGTGGATGTTCGATGCTTTAGATATGCTTACTCAGCTTCATCGCTGAGCGTGTAGTATGTTTTATTTGCTACACGCAGGTAGGCAGAATGAATGATTGGCATGTTCCTGGCAGCGGAAGGGGCGAGATTGTCGTGGTGAAATTTGTGATTTTAAAATAAATAATTGTGTTGTTATTAAACATGGTTTGAATTGCTTTCGCATTATTGTTAAACATTCCGTATTTTGCTACAGTTATGTATTAAACAATATTTATGATGAATAAAAGTATTTGAAATGTTTTAAATTTTACGATTACCAAGTTAATACTTTAGTCCGAAAGGGGCTGCAGACCTGGACGGATTAGGGTGTTACAATTTGGTATCAAAGCAAATGGTTTTAAAACCGATCTTCGGATCAAAAGTTTGTTTTAAAAAAAAATTATATATATATATGATATATATATTTTCGGCCCTAAAAAAATGATGTCGATCAAATCCATGACTCTCGCATCCCTCTGATCCAGGAAGGTAATAAAAAAATAAAGTATTGAATTTGACTGTATTAAATCTTTATAGATGTCAACTATTAATTCGGAAATGATATCAAGTGTTGATTCAAGTCGCACTTTCGTGCTTGGTAAAAGACAAAAGAACAAACGAAATGTATATGACTCGCTGATACGATATCAACTTGCTCATCGCTTTGCGAGAATAATGAAACGAAGGATTTACCTGCGCCGCAAGGCTGCCTGGGAACGCGATGACCCAGAAGAGACGTTTAGCGTAGACTCTGCAAACAGCGTGTGCGGATAAGCCGTAGAAGACCTAGCTGTAGATTCGTCACGATCCAACCAATCGAACACAAACATTTAGAAATTATCTTGTTGATCGTTTAAAAATCCATTGATTGTATCGACTGATGTAAACCTTTGCAATTCCTGTCTTAAACTCAACTACCGAATAAAAAACCCTAATAAAGGAATTTCTGTTATTGTAGAATGAGTCAAGAATCTGCCCATGGACAAGGCAACAACAATGAACACGTCAGTGTTCATACTGAAGCATCTAGTTTCACCCCTCCCATCCAAAATGAACCCGTCAATCAACAAAATGTTGGGAATAACCCGAATGCTGGTGGTCAACCCGACTTCGTAATTCCGACTTTCTTGGCTAACGTGTTGCAACAAATAGCCAACGCGCCAATGTTTCAACCACCACCGCCGCCGCCACCTCGAGCGATAACCTACAAAACGCTAAGGGATAACGATACAAAATTATTCCTTGGGGATCGCATCGGTGAACCCCAAATTGCGTGGGACTGGATCGAGCCTCGAGTGTTGAAGGATCTCAACGTACCTATAGACAACTACCCTCGACTGGCTTCTCAACTGCTGCGCAATGAAGCCTACGAGTGGTGGAAGAGAACCAATGAGAGTGCAGGAACCCCTAAGCCGTGGACTTGGGCACATTTCGAATGGGCATTCAAGCAAGAATAAATTCCGAAACGTTTTAGCGAGGAAAAACGTAAGGAATTTGTGGAGCTGGAACAGGGAAACATGACACTCCCTGAATATCGTCAGAAGTTTACCAAACTTGCAAAGTTTGCGCCAACCTTGGTGAGTACCCCAATCGATCGCATTGAGGAATTCAGGACGGAACTTCGACCTGACCCGAGGTCACGTGTGTCCGTCTTAACCACCCTAGACTGCGCAGAGGCCTACAAGATCATAGCCAGGGCGGATAGTGACCTGAATGCTTGCATAGAGTACCTAAAGGCAAACAATGCTGTCCCAAACACTCACCATCCCACTAATTCTGCCTCAAAAGGAAAAAGGCCCTTCCAGGAATCTAGTAATTCACATTTCTCTAAAAAGGGAAAATCTGTGCAAACTCAATCAATGGCATCCGTTGATAGATTCAGGAAGCGAAAGTATCCTGCTTGCGAACACTGTGGAAGGAACCACCCTGGAGAGTGTTGGTTGAAACAAGGGTTGTGCCTTGGCTGTGGAAAACTAAGACATTTCAAAAAGGAGTGCCCTACAAACCCTGGAGAACCATTTCCATCTGCTCCTAGTCTGCATCAGCACGACCCGCACCAAGTCAACGCTCAACAGCGGGGTCTAAGCCAGCCAAGAATCAGAACCAACAACAAGGACGAGCTCCTGCTCATACATATGCAATGAAGGCACGAACTGAGGAAAACCCTGACATCATTCAGGGTATGTTTTCCTTATTTGATACTTTCATGCATGTATTGATAGACCCTGGATCAACATTGTCTTATATCTGTGTACATATGCCTGAAAAAGCTGACATAATGAAAGAACAATTGGAACAACCTATACTAGTGTCTAATCCGTTAGGACATAGTATGAGGTTAGATCATGTGTATCAAAACTGTCCATTGATTGTTGAAGGACATCAGTTCTCTACCAATCTTGTCGAATTACCGTACAAAGAATTTGACATCATCCTCGGAATGGATTGGCTCACCGAACACCAAGCAGTTATTGATCTTGTTCCTAGAAACAGGACCGATATCTGCAACCCCTTATCGCATGGCCCCTGCTGAAATGAAAGAGTTGAAGGCTCAACTACAAGAATTGCTCGATAAAGGATTCATACGTCTGAGTGTTTCCCCTTGGGGAGCACCCGTTCTGTTTGTCAAAAAGAAAGACGGATCGATGAGACTCTGCATCAATTACCGTCAATTAAACAAAGTCACAATCAAAAATCGATATCCTTTACCTCGTATCGATGACTTATTTGATCAGCTTAGAGGATCTACTATATTCTCTAAGATTGACTTACGGTCAGGATACCATCAAATCCCGGTAAAGAAAGAGGACATCCCAAAGACTGCGTTCCGTACTCGTTATGGTCATTATGAGTTTACGGTAATGCCCTTTGGTTTGACCAATGCTCCTGCAGTATTCAAGGATCTCATGAATAGTGTATTCCGACCTTATCTTGATCAATTCATGGTTGTATTTATCGATGATATTCTTGTCTATTCGAAGAATCGAGAAGATCATGCAAAACATTTGGAGATAGTACTCAGTGTACTACGAGAACATAAACTGTATGCCAAACTGTCAAAGTGTGAATTCTGGCTTGATGAAGTTACGTTTTTGGGACATGTGATTTCTAAAGAAGGTGTTAAAGTGGACCCCAGTAAAATATCTGCCATCACCGAGTGGAAGGTTCCAAGGAATGTTCGTGAAGTGAGAAGCTTTCTTTGATTAGCTGGATACCATCGACGATTTGTTGAAGGCTTTTCCTCGATCGCAACTCCACTTAACAAACTTCTCAGAAAGGATGTGAAATTCGTATGGACCGATGCATGTCAGCAAAGCTTTGAGAACTAAAGAAATGTCTGACAGAAGCACCTGTACTGACACAACCGGTACTAGGTGTAGACTACACAATCTTTAGTGACGCATCTCATAATGGCTTGGGATGTGTACTTATGCAAGACGGAAAAGTCGTGGCATACGCATCAAGGCAATTGAAACCTCACGAGTGTAACTATCCTACTCATGATCTTGAGTTAGCAGTTGTATTTGCTCTGAAGATATGGCGTCATTATCTCTTTGGAGAGACAACATATATTCACACACACCACAAAAGTCTGAAATACCTACTAACTCAAAAAGAGTTAAACCTGAGAAAAAGAAGATGGTTGGAATTGATCAAAGACTACAACTGTTACATCGACTATCACCCTGGCAGGGCTAACGTAGTTGCTGACGCATTGAGCCGAAAGATGATAGCCGAACTCCGAATTCAGCCTACTCTTGAGAACGAAATTCACGTTGCACAAAAACGTGATGACTACTGTTTGAAGACTTGTGAGCTTGTCTCTAAGGGGGAGAGACAAGATTTCACTATAAATGATGGAATTTTATTCTACCAGAATCGTTTGGTAGTTCAATTCCTAGTGGTGAAGCGAGGGAACGTTTAATGCGTGAATCTCACGAAACCACATATACCATGCATCCTGGCAGTAATAAAATGTTCCAAGATCTAAGAAAGACATATTGGTGACCCACAAGGAAGCGGGAAATTTCTGAATTCACTACGCGATGTCTGACATGTCAACAAGTCAAGGTTGAACACCAAGTGCCAAGTGGATTGTTACATCCACCTACTATCCCTGACGCCGAATTAAATCAAGGCGTAGGGCTAGAACGAGAAGAACAACGAAAGAAAGGGAAAGATTGAAACGCTAGGGGAAGAGTTCCGCTCTAGGTTTGAAATATTCTCGAATAATGATAGTCTGCCTGAAATATGCCCACAAGGCGGGCTATAAATAGCTGAAAAACGAAGGGAGTGAAACCCTAAAAGATGGAAGACAAAACGGGCCTAAGAATAAAAATAAATGGGCTAACTAAAAGATAGGACAAAGGCCCAAAGACACAAATTTAAAAATGAAGGCCTTAACAAAGAGTTCATGTTAGTCTTGATCCTCTCCTGCATCAGTCTCCCCGGGTTGGAAAGAACTCGTCCTCGAGTTCACATCATCATCTTTAGAATCCAAAAAACAAGGAGTTAGGTGCTTCACATTGAAAACATCAGAAGTTTTCAAGTGACTGGGAAGCCGCAATCGGTAAGCATTATCATTGATCCTCTGAACTATCTCGTAGGGTCCAATTTTCCGATCCTTGAGTTTATCATACTCGCCAACAGGGAATCGATCCTTGGTCAACACAGCCCAAACAAAGTCTCCAACATCAAACAGAACTTGACGTCGATGTTTGTCCACCCGTGCCTTGTACTTGTTGTTGCTTTCTTCAATCTTACGTCTCACCTGATCATGTATGCTCCTCAGGTTCTCTGTCATCTCTTCGGCTCTAGGATGACTGCGACCCACTCGTGGAATTGGGGCCAAGTCCAACAACCCGGATGGGTTCTGACCCAAGACAATTTGAAATGGGCTCAATCCAGTGGTCCTGTTTATTGACCTGTTGTAGGCAAACTCCGCTTGGGGAAGCGCCAAATCCCATTGTTTTGGCTTAGATCCTGCCAAACAACGTAGAAGATTTCCCAAGCTACGTTTCACCACCTCCGTCTGGCCATCAGTCTGGGGATGATATGCACTGCTAAAGTTCAGATTGGTGCCAAGCTTCTCCCATAAACTCTTCCAGAACTGGCTCATGAATTTTGTGTCACGATCTGAGGTGATAGAACGAGGAACGCCATGCAACCTCACAATCTCCTTGAAATATAGGTAAGCAATCCGCACAGCATCCATGGTTTTCCTGCAGGGAATAAAGTGTGCCATCTTGGAAAACCTGTCAACAACAACAAAGATGGAGTCTGCCGCCCTTTGGGTGCGAGGTAATCCAAGTACAAAATCCATGCTAACATCAAGCCAAGGGGCTTCTGGAACAGGCAATGGAGTATAAAGGCCTGCATTTGTGAGAGTTCCCTTAGATCGCTGGCACACATAGCAACGATCCACAAAATGGGTCACGTCACTTCTCAACTTTGGCCAGTAAAAATCAGCAGACACAAGAGCGAGAGTCTTGTCTCGACCAAAATGTCCTTCGTTGTGGAGTTCACTGATAATCTGCTGTCGTAAGGAACAATCTGGGACACATAGCTGCCAACCTCGAAAAAGATAGCCATCATGCACCAAGAAATCATGGCGGTGTCCCGACGTCACTTCCAAGAAGATCGTTCCAAATGAAGGATCAGCTTCGTACATGTCCGCAAACACTTCAAATCCCGTCACTCTACTGCTCATGGTGGAGAGAAGATTATTTCGTCGACTCAAGGCATCAGTGACGCGGTTGACACTACCTGATTGGTGTTTAAGAACAAAGGTGAACTCCTGTAAGTACGCCACCCACTTGGCATGACGCCTATTGAGTTTGTGCTGCCCATTAATATACTTCAAAGCCTCGTGATCAGTGAAAAGAATGAACTCCTTTTGGATTAAATAATGACGCTAATGTTTGAGTGACTGAACAATGGCGTAGAACTCGAGGTCATAAGTCGAGTAATTCTTCTAGGAACCAGAAAGTTTTTCACTGAAGAAGGCAACTGGGCGTCCAGCCTGACTAAGCACACCTCCAATGCCAACACCAGAGGCATCACAGTTGACCTCAAAAACTTTGTCAAAATCAGGGAGGGCTAATACTGGAGCCTCCGTCATCTTCTGTTTCACCTTCTCAAAGCTGGACTCCGCGGCATCTGTCCACTGGAGGTCACGTCCCTTGAGACACTCAGTAATAGGCGCGATCAAAGTGCTGAAGTTCCTAATGAATCTGCGATAAAAAGAGGCCAGACCATGAAAGCTACAAACATCATGCAATGTTCTGGGTCTAGGCCACTGCACAATGGCCTCAATCTTTGAGGGATCTGCATGCACACCATCAACAGAAACCACAAACCCCAGGAACTGAACGGAGGTAGTAAAGAAGAAACACTCTTTCTATTGATGAATAAAGTCTCCGCTTTTAGCACCTCAAAAACAGCACGCAAATGTTCAAAGTTGGCAGCCCAAGATGGACTATAGATAAGGATGTCATCAAAGTAAACAACAACAAACTTTCCCATAAAAGGTCTCAAAACCTGGTGCATGAACCGCATGAACGTACTAGGTGCGTTGGACATACCAAACGGCATCACCATCCACTCGTACAACCCATGCTGCGTCTTAAACGCGGTCTTCCATTCGTCGCCAGGCTTGATTCGAATCTGATGGTACCCACTCTTAAGGTCAATTTTGGAAAAGATCTTAGAGCCGGAAAGTTGATCTAGCATGTCATCAAGTCGGGGAATAGGAAATCTATACTTCACTGTGATGCGGTTGATGGCCCTGCTGTCCACACACATGCGCCAAGAACCATCTTTCTTCGGCACTAACAAGGTTGGAACTGCACATGGACTCATGTTCTCCCTGACATAGCCTCTTTCAAGCAACTCTACAACTTGTCGCTGCAATTCTTCTACCTCTTTGGGACTGAGACGATATGCTGGTCTATTTGGGAGGTTAGAGCCTGGGACTAAATCAATTTGATGTTGGATGTCCCTCAATGGTGGTAAACCAGGAGGTAGTTCATCAAGCATTAAGTGTGAGAACTCATCTACAAGTTGCTGCACCTCCACAGGTAAGTCACTATCTTCATCACCTGCTTGGTCATCACAAGGCAGCAATGCATAAACCACCTTTTCATGCTCAACCTCCTTTAGGAACTTGGACCTAGATAGCAGATTAGTAGGGCCTTCTGTTGAGGGTGGAGGGGGGTCCTCTCGACGTGGTGCTAATATTATCCTCTTGCCTTTCATGACAAAAGAATAGGTATTCTTTCGTCCATCATGTACAATGCTTCGATCATACTGCCAAGGTCTTCCCAAAAGAATGTGACATGCATCCATCTTCACAACATCACACCAGTGACTATCATGATACTTATTCCCAATTGAGAAGGAAACAAGGCATCTCTTATCAACTGTCACCTCGGAACCCTTGTGTAGCCAAGATAACTTATAGGGTTTGGGGTGGCGTTCTGTCTTCAACTGCAATTTCTGGACAGCTTCGTCAAAGACAATGTTGTCGCAACTACCACCATCCACAATCATCTTGCAAACTTTTCCTCCAATGGTGCAGGTTGTGTGGAAGATGTTTGTCCTCAACCAATCATCTTTAGAATCATCCTTTGGGGCCAGAAGACTCTTGCGCACAACCAAATTCTCTCGACCATCCCCATAAAGAACATCATCTTCTGCATAATCATCATAGGCTGGACCTCCAAACTCTTCAACTTCATCATCGTCAACAACGATGTTCTCCTCCACGAACAGGCTCTTGCTCTTCTGTAGAGCGGGTTTCTTGCATTCATTCGCCCTATGTCCAGATTCACCACAACGATAGCACTTAATCGTACTACTCGAAGCTCCTTGCGTCCCTTGGACTCCTTGTGTGGTCAGTCGAGGCTCTTGGGGTCGAGCCGGACGGTTGTTGGTCACCGACTTCCTGTTCTGCTGCTTCTCAACTGCAAGGGCCCTTTTGTATGCCTCAGAAACAGTCCATAATGAATGGAGGTTGAGAACATCCTGCAAGGACTGACGCAAGCCTGCCATGTATCGGGCCACAAGCTGCTCCTCCGATTCAGATAGATCGTTGCAGGCAATCAACTGGTAGAATTCTTCTGTGTAATCATCAACGGACCTTGTTCCCTGCCTCAACGTATGGAGTCGCTGAAATAGGGTTTGTGTGTATCCGAAGGGAAGAAAGTGTGCCCTCATCTTACCCTTCATCTTCTCCCAATCATTGATCTTTGGCTTACCCTTCTTCTCACGAGTTCGCCGCATTTGTTCCCACCATGCAGAGGCTCGTCCATGGAGTTTGATCGCCACAAGCTTCACTTTGTCACGATCTGGAACGTCCTTATACTCGAAGATACGATCCACCTCGTTCAGCCAGTCAATGAAATCATCGGCCTGCAGGGTTCCTGAAAAACTAGGGATTTCCACCTTAAACCCTAACCCTCCGCGATAGTCATCACGGACGCGAAAATCACGTCTGCGAGGTTCGCGATGATACAGGTTCTCAAACGATGATTGGGAGCCCTGATCTGACTCCTCATGATCCTCCAAATCCCGCACCGCCAGGCGCTGCGTGAGTTCTACGATTTGCTGCCGCATAATCTCGTTCTGCCGCTGTAGATCTGTTATCACCTCCACGTCGTCAAGGCGCTGCTCTCGTCGGGGGGGTTCGCCACCCATAGGTTGCCCACATCCGCAACCTCGTGCACGCACCATTGATGTTGAAGGAAGATCTTCCTTTATTCGTCGAACCTGCTCCGATACCAACTGACGCCGAATTAAATCAAGGCGTAGGGCTAGAACGAGAAGAACAACGAAAGAAAGGGAAAGATTGAAACGCTAGGGGAAGAGTTCCGCTCTAGGTTTGAAATATTCTCGAATAATGATAGTATGCCTGAAATATGCCCACAAGCCGGGCTATAAATAGCTGAAAAACAAAGGGAGTGAAACCCTAAAAGATGGAAGACAAAACGGGCCTAAGAATAAAAATAAATGGGCTAACTAAAAGATAGGCCGAAGGCCCAAAGACACAAATTTAAAAATGAAGGCCTTAACAAAGAGTTCACGTTAGTCTTGATCCTCTCCTGCATCAATCCCTGAATGGAAGTGGGAACGAATTACGATGGACTTCGTGATCGGACTTCCATTATCAACCAAGAAGAATGATGCTGTCTGGGTAGTCGTTGACCGATTAACCAAGTCATCTCATTTTATCCCAATTCGACGTGATATGTCTTTGAAGAAATTGGCAGAATTGTACATCCGTGAAATCGTAAGATTACATGGTGTACCTTTGTCTATCATTTCTGATCGTGACCCGCGATTCACGTCACAATTCTGGAAGAGTTTGCAGAAGGCTCTAGGTACTAAACTCAACTTTAGTACGGCATTTCATCCTCAAACAGACGGACAATCTGAAAGGACAATTCAAATTCTTGAAGATATGATGAGAGCATGTGTAATTGATTTTGGAAACAACTGGGAACAATACATACCGCTAATGGAGTTCGCTTATAACAACAGTTATCAAACGAGTATCCAAATGGCCCCGTACGAAGCCTTGTATGGGAGACGTTGAAGAACCCCAGTATGCTGGACAGAATTAAGCGAGCAAAGACTTGAAAGACCCGATCTCGTCCGTGAAACTGAAGAAAAGGTTCGTCTAATCAGAGAAAGACTGCAAGTGGCTTCTGATCGTCAAAAGTCATATGCCGACTTGAAACGTCGTGAGATCGAATACAATGTTGATGACAAGGTGTTTCTGAAAGTCTCACCGTGGAAGAAAGTGTTACGGTTCGGTAGGAAGGGAAAACTAAGTCCTAGATATATTGGACCCTATCGAATCACTGATCATGTGGGTCCAGTAGCATATCGGTTCGAACTTCCACCAGAACTAAACAAGATCCATAACGTATTCCATGTATCGATGTTGAAAAGATACCGTTCCGATCCATCGCATATCTTGACTGGGGGAATTGTAACTCTTGACGAACAATTGACTTATGAGGAGAACCTGTACAAGTTTTAGCGCGAGAGGTCAAACAATTGAGAAACAAATCTGTACCCTTAGTCAAAGTACTATGGAGCAATCACTCGACTGAAAACATGGGAAACGGAAGAGTCAATGAGAATGCAATATCCGAATCTCTTCAACCAATGACTTAGGTAATTTCGAGGACGAAATTATTTTAAGGGGGAGAGAAATGTAACGCCCCGAAAATAGGCCTATCAGAATTAATTAATTGATAATTAATTAATTACTGAGAAGGACCCAAAAATAAGTAAATTCTAAAGTTTGTCAATAATTAATAAAAATTATATCGTTGTGTAGAGTTTGACTGTCTGACCCCAACGGTTCAATCGGATTTCAATTTGGAGAAAGTTGGACCAAAAAGTGTACCCCAACTAGGACCAAAAATTAGTCCCAATCAGGGACTACACACCAAACGGCACCCTGTTCAATTACGCCGATTCCAAAATGCAAATCGCCGCACAATCACGGAAGCAACCAAGCCTGTGTCTTCTTCTTCTCCACTGGCCTATTTAAGCACAACTCAACTCCCTCAATTTCTCACCAAAAATATTCATTCTTCCTCCTATATTGTTCCTTGCTGAGAGTAGAGTGCAGTGGTGCTGTCATCTTTGTGTGAGGTCGCCGGAGCAGTGAGATAGAGTCGCCGGAAGTTTCGCCGGAAAATCGTCAAAACCTCTCTTACGCTTCAAAGTAAGCCCGTAGATATATCTAATGACTAGAATGTTCATATAGGTCGTTTCTACGTTCATAAATGGTCATTTGGTTGAGTTTTATGTTTGACATGTTTGAAGAACCAAGAATCAAAATCATTGAAATTGTTGTTAAAACTACGAAATAATAATACTTAAATGATCTATGAACATTGGAGAACATTTCTATACAGTTAATTGAAGTTTGGTGAACTAAAAATGAAATTTCCGAAACCAGACCCGAGGAGGAAGACGATGAACAGTGTACGGTAGACTCCTACCGCCGGTACGGTAGATAGGTACCGTCCAAACGGTACCCACCTACCGCCGGAATGGTAGGACACTACCGTCGCCACTCAAGCTCTTCTGGCGGTAACCTGCCAACCGACGGTGCCCTCTACCGCCGGCACGGTACCGAGGTACCGTTAGCCGGTACTGAGGTACCGTGAAGGGTACCGTCTAATCCGATTATTTTTCAGAAAATCCGATTTTTAAACCACAAAATCCTATTTTTAATACCAATTGATTATGATTATTATAAATATGATTTTTCCTATTAAAAATGATGTTTTTAATAAATTAAAACATTACGTGATGCATGTCGGTGAGTTCGGGTGTTAACACTCGAGACTAGGCCGCTATTTGTTATTAAACGTTATGTTGAATGATCGTTATGATAAATAAATGTTATGGATGATTATGAATGATAAACCTACTGATTAGGATTATTATTAATGATTAAATCATTATTAAAATTGAATATAATGATGATCACGAAATCAGTGTGTTGTTAAGGCTATCTCGAAGACCTCTAAGATAGACCTCAAATTAGATTGGGCCTTGCGGGTATAAATATGTATATTCGGTGGCCTTGGGTAAAAACGTACGTACGGGATCCATAAACCAAACTAGAGGAACTCGTTTGGGGATACCACCCAACCCGACAGTTAGTATTCTACTGTTCGGTTTTCTGGATTTATACCTTAAGCGAAGGCTAGTTTAAGAGTTGGTAAATCAATCGGAATATGTACCTTAAACTAATGACCTAGCTTAAGAGTTGGTTAGAAGTACCTTAAACTAGAATTAGTTTAAGAGTTGGTTAAGAGTACCTCGAACAAGAAATAGTTTAAGAGTTGGTAAACATCAAAAGATTGGCCTTAGACTAAGCTTAGTTAAGGATATTGTTGAATATTGAATATGAATGTTGAATATTGAAATATTGAAAATATCATGAATGAATTATACATTGTGTGCATGATATCAAATGGTTGTTTATGAATTGAGATTCAATTTATGTGGATGTTCGATGCTTTAGATATGCTTACTCAGCTTCATCGCTGAGCGTGTAGTATGTTTTATTTGCTACACGCAAGTAGGCAGAATGAATGATTGGCATGTTCCTGGCAGCGGAAGGGGCGAGATTGTCGTGGTGGAATTTGTGATTTTAAAATAAATAATTGTGTTGTTATTAAACATGGTTTGAATTGCTTTCGCATTATTGTTAAACATTCCGTATTTTGCTACAGTTATGTATTAAACAATATTTATGATGAATAAAAGTATTTGAAATGTTTTAAATTTTACGATTACCAAGTTAATACTTTAGTCCGAAAGGGGCTACAGACCTGGACGGATTAGGGTGTTACACCTCCGGCTTCGGAGGATGGCCCAGATCCTCGGTTCGCCCACGAAGGTCCGCCGCCTGTCACCTGCTCCTCCACTCGGTTCGGCTGTGGTCAGCTCCGTCCATGGTCCTAGCGCCGGTGAAGCTGCTCCAAATGGCCGGCTACACTATTTACACCAATGGCACAGTAGTGAAATCCAAGATGCAGATCGATTTTGAAAAGTAGATCCGGTCCACTGACAATTCACTGGAATTGGGCAGGCGCGTGGATTTCTTGGTTCTATTTGGGGTCTAAAATCTCCAATTATGGATGGTGCAGTGAAAAAAAAAAAAGATAAGTGTTTTTTTCACCATTATTTCAACTATTCCATATTTATTATTATTTTTTGCCATATTATCAATATGATAATTCCTATCATTTACTCCATTATTATTACCATTACCTTGTCCACCACATGTGATCGGACCTCACTTGGACGATGGTATTACACTTTGTGTTCAACACTTTAAGCCCTGATGTGGGACGAGCGTGAAGCACCCCACACAGGCCAGCGACCTGCCTCAGGGCATGGCTCAGATCCAACTCATTTAGTCATCCCTTAGCGAGGCCGTGTAAACCTCCCCACGAGGTGTTGAAGATTAGGGGTGGGCATTCGAGTCCAGGAACCGCGAGTCGAAACCGAACTGTCAGGTTCGGGCCGAGTTAGGTCCGGGTCGTCTTTTCAAAAATTTAAAACGGTCCGGGTCGGTCCGGTTCCTATAGATTTTAGGGTCGGTCCGGTTCCCCATTTTGAAATTGTTTGGGACCCGGACTGGACCGTTTTTTAAATACTAATATTATTTTTAATATTTTTTTAGTAAATATACGGTATACCCGCTTATTCCAATTAATTTTAGTAACTCTTTCGGTCCTTCCATATTCCAATCGCAGACAGAACCTCTTTGACAGTCATAAGAATAATTTTCTTTATCTTTTCATCATATTTTTGTATTCAATTACACACAAATCTTTAAATCCATGGATATTATCACATATGATGTCTTCATTATACTAAGATTGTTAGAACTATTCGTATCTCTGGCTATATATAATGCCAAAATGTGGTTGTCAAAATGTCAAAATGTGGTTGTCTTCTTTTTGTTGTTGTTGTTGGATGATCATGAGGTGTACACTTTACTCTCATGCCCCTCTTTGTCATTGTTTTTTTTCATTTATTCCTCTTTTTTGAACTTTTAAGGCATTATTCTATAATTTCTATTTATTTTGAAGAATGTTAGTGATGGTGTAAATTACTTGACCGGTCAAGCTATACTAGACCGGGTCTAGGATAATTGGCTTGATTTCGTAAAGTAAAGAAAGTAAAAACACTCAGAATGACCGGTAAGACTTTAGGTGGAACACCTGTAGCCCGAATTGTATTAAAACAGAGAATGCACGGTCACTTTTGCAAGGGAGTTTAGAGAGAGTGAATTCGGATCCCCTTCTTTGAGGGTTACAACAGGTATATATACTAGGCTTGGGGGGACAGGACCACGTGCGCCCACGTGGGGGCACGCTGCTGATGTGGTGCGAGGTGACTGGTTTCGTCCTTGAGCTGCCCTGTCGCCTTGTGAGGGGAATCACTCCCCTTGTCGCGTTCTGGTTTGGAAATGTTCCTTCAGCATCTCTGCAATGCCAACCACTTCAGTCCAAGTCCTTTTTTGGACTCTCCCTGCCGACACTTTCCAATCTCTAAAAGTTGTACCGGTTGGTTCTCGAGGGATGGTTTGGCCAACTTCGCATGATGAATTCAGGTAATGATGGTGTTTGACCGGTGTACTTATCCAAAGTATACCGGTCACATTTCTGGCCAACCAGTTATCCCTTCGCAGACGATCTAGATCTCTCTTCCAGGCTTTCCCTTTTTGACCGGTCAACTATCCGGTTCTGACCTTTGACCGGTCATGGGTGAAATACACCCATCAATAAGCCCTCCACTTCTCGGTCATGCAATTTTGTCATGAGCGGGAAGTAAAAAATTCGTGAGGTACATTCGAAATTCAAATTTCTAATTTTTCCCGCTTGAATATTTCAAATTCAAAATTTGAGGCTTTGACACGTGTTTGGCGCTGCCCATTGCAGCAGTCGCGTCCCATCGCCTTCCCCATGCGCCATCATTGCGCCACCTGATGCGGCGTGTTTTCGCGCAGCCACGTCGCTCCCTTTGGCCTCCTCTCCTCCTATATAAGGGCCTTCAGCCCATTCATTCCTCCACTTCTTCTCGCGCGACCCTTCTGAGTTTCACCGGTCGTTCTCTCCGCTCTAGCTTCCTAGCCCTCCGAGCCAAGTAAGCATCTTTCCTCTTCTTATTAGCTTTCTTTTCTCCATTTTTCTTCCTGGTAAATGTCTTCCCCTGATAGTCAAGACATTTCCGCCTCGGATGCCTGCGCATCCGAGGAATCCCTTTCCTCTTCTTCTTCGACCGGGTCGTCTTCCCCCATTCCTCATCCCCGGTCGATTCCAAATCCCAACATCCCTGAACCGCAGCCGGTAAATCAGATGCCCGGTCAGGTTTTTCAGGAGAGGGATGCACCGGTGGAAGATGAACCGGCTCCCTATGACCCTGAAAATGAGTCGTACGAGAATTGGGAGGACCGGCTGGAAGCGGCCGGTTATTCTCCTCTCCCTACCAGTTACCCCTCAGACATTCCTCCCCGGGTTTCTAAGATTGCACAAAATAAAGCCCGTAGGAATCTCCCGGCGGGTTATGTTCTTGAGTATGACACCAACTGGCTCAATATCATCGAGCCCCACCGGGACGACAGGGTAGGTTTTCACATCGTTTCTCTGGAGAGTGGCACCGTCTTCCCCCTCCGTCCTCTCTTGGTCGAGTTATGTCGTTGTTTTAAGATCCTTCCCGGGCAGATTACACCCAATGCGCATCGTTTCCTTAATGCCTTCGTGAATATCTGTGTTGAGCTTAAGATCGACCCCTCTCTCCGTCTGTTTCTCTTTTTGTTTGAAGTCCTTCCCGGTAAATCGGGTTGCGACAGCTACGTCTACTTCAGAGGCCGCAACGGTCGCCAATTTATTTCTGATCTTCCACAAAGCAACCGGCAGTGGAAGGAAAAATTTGTTTTCATAAAATTTCCCGATGTCTCCCCCCTGGCCGGGATAAGGTGGAACGACCATATTCTGAAGTCACAGTATACCGAGCCGGCCACAGCTCCTGACTTGGAGGAGAGTTTAGAGAAGCTTCTCCAGGGGGACCCCTTCACCGGGCAGATGTTCCACTATGGGGCCTGGATCTGGAGGATCCAACCGGGTGGCCAAGGTACCCCTCAGGCCCAGGAGGCAGCGGGGCACGGGGTACCCTCCCCGGGCAACACTGCCGAGGCCGGGGGCCCAAGCCACCCAGGTATATTTCTTTCCTTCTTTCTTTAAAATGTCCGGTCACAGTTGGAGTACTTGCAAGTTCTCTGCATGTTCTGTAGATATGAATTTCAGGGCGTACAACATGCCGAAGACAACCGGTGGCTCCTCCTCCGCTGCCGCCACAAACAAGCCGGTGCAACCGGAAACGGTTGTGATCAATGATGAGGAAGACCCTCAGACCGGGGGGATGGGCCAGACAGGGAACGCACCGGTGAATCCCTCCCCCAACAAGGGGAAGGGGAAGATGAGGACGAAGAAAACTGCAACCACTCACCCGGCCGCGAAGAGGAAAAGGGGAGAAAGCTCCCCGGTTGGTGAATCGATGGAGGAGTTGTGGGTCAAGATGACCCTCAAGCTGAAAGAGGTAACATTCTCCCGGTATGTTACCTTTAGCAATCTGCTTGCTCATTTCCCTGACCGATTTATTTTCTAATCCGCAGATGGGTGAGGTCGGCCCAGATACTCTGGAACAACTCGCCGGCGATCCCTCCTCCCGATTAAGCCAACTCGAGGAGCAGCTGAAAAGATCCGAGGCTCACAACCGGGAGCTCCAAGATCTGACGGGCCGTCAATTGGATGAGGTGGCCAATCTTGCGAGGATGGCCGGGGAGGCAGAAGCCGTGGTCATCCGGCTGAAGGAGGAGAACCTCAAGCTGATGGAAGATTTGGAGCTGAAGGAAAGGGAGTTCCCCGGCAGGGCCAGGCGATGGGTGGGAGAGAACTTGGAGGAGACGGCCCGGGTGATCACTTCTACTCCGGAAATGACGATGGCGGCCTTCAAGTTTCTCTACCAGGAGGAGCAAGGGAAAGAGATGATCACACAGATCGGCTCATATGGTTTCATGTCCGGGTAGAAACGAGACCGGGAGGCTACACATGCAGTCCTGGCTGAACGGTTTCCGGATTTTGATGCTGAATCATATGGACTGGCCCCCATCCCAGATGATGAGCCTGCACCTCCTTTCCCCTTGAATTAAGATCTCCCCGGCTGTGACCGGTTGCATTTTGTAAACTTGAAAACCAGCTATTTTCCCGGGGATGCCCGGTGTATCTGTAAACACTTGACTTTTTATTTTGTTTGAATTCCATACCGGTTATTCTTCCATATCTGCTTGCTCCATGATTGTTACTCTTTATTGCCTCTTAGAGTACCATCATAGAAATTCTGACCGGTAGATATATCAGGTCACTTCTCAATTGTTTTCGACCGGTAGAACTTCCAAGTTCTTCTTGATCACTTTATTTGAAAGTTTAGCTCGAGTGACTTTGACCGGTTGAACTCCAATTTACACCATCATTTTTGAAAAAATGTTTGACCGGCTGGACTTCATTTTGGTTTTTGGACACCTTCGTTCTTGTTTTGAAAATGAAGCGTAGTTTGACCGGTAGGTCCCTTTTCCACGGTCTGACCGGTGAATTGCTTTGCCTTGTGGAACTTTCGAAGTTCCGTTGTATCAATACCCAACCGGGGTATTTCCTTTTTTTTTTGACCGGTAGGTTGTAGATGGAACACCTGTAACCTAGTAATTTCTTGAAGTATCCTTAACCGGTAAGAATACTGGAGATTTAACCATGTTCGAATGGTTTCGAACCCTCTCCAAGGTTCAAATGCACCCTTCTTCCAGGGCCCCCTCTTCCGGGTGATTAAGTCTTTTAATGGCCCTTTGATTTCTACCATCCCGGGAAGGCCTTAGCTCACCCCCCGTTCAAGTCTTCCCTGAGAAGGGGGAAATAGGATGCGCCACGGTGGACGATCCCCTTCTATTTCTTTTAATGGGCATCTTTTAGTCCCCAATTAATTTGACGGTGCCGGCTGATTCCCCGACACCGGTCAAACCTTATGGGCCCGTGTAAGTACGGTTCGAACCCTCTTCCAGGTCCAGCCCTCTTGCAGGCATACCCTCTTCCGGGCCCCTCTTCCGGGTTTTATATTTTTTCTATTATACTGAGCAAGACCGGTGTAGTAACCAGCGTGCCAGGTCCGGGCCTATGTCTCAGTTGGCTTATCCGAGTGGATACGATCCACCCGGGAAGCCCTCCTAGGATAGGTTCGACCTATCAATTCTGCTGCTACCATGTAAATATTGAATGTCATCAGTTTGATTGATAATAAAGTAGGCCTTGCCTAGTATTACAATCATTTGTAGAACTTGCGAAGATGATGGGAATTCCAGGTTCTTTCTACCGGTACACCTTCAAGAGTTTCTAACCGATAGGTTCCCGGGCGAATGATAGTTCTCACCCGGTAAGGCCCTTCCCAGTTTTTGGCCAACTTTCCTCCGTCTCCCGGTCTACTAGCCTCCCTTCTTCACAGGACTTCATCGCCAACTTGAAAGTATCGCGGCCCAACCTTGTTGTCATGGTACTTCTTCACCACTTGTTGGTATGTACTCATTTTAACTTCCGCGACCATTCTCCGCTCTTCGACCAAGTTGAGTTCGGCCAAGTGATCTTCCTCATTCTGCTGGGGTTGATAACTTGATTCCCGAAACGTTGGGAATTCAGCTTCGATGGGCAGCCTCGCTTCGCACCCATAGGTTAGGGAGAAGGGAGTTTCCCCATGAGCCCTCTTGGGCGTCACTCGAAATGCCCATATGATGTGCGGGAGCTCTTCCAGCCATTGTTTCCTGCCTCTCCCAGCCGCTTCTTTAGACCATCCACAATAGTCCTGTTGGCGTTTTCAACTTGGCCATTTCCTTGGGGATACGCCACCGAAGAGCGGTTGTGCTTGATTCCGAAGCCCTCCAAGTATTCGGTGAATCTCGGATTTCGGAATTGTGGGCCATTGTCGGTGATGAGGTTCATGGGAGCTCCAAACCTCGTGATGATGTTCTTCCAAATGAATTTCTTGCATTGCTGCGTGGTGATATTGGCCAATGCCTCGGCTTCGATCCATTTGGTGAAGTAATTGATGGCCACGATTACAAATTTCTTCCTTCCTTGGGCGATTGGGAATGCCCCAATGATATCCACCCCGAATCTAGCGAAAGGGATGACGTTTGATACGGGGTGATAGTAGGTCTCCGGCCTACCGGGGTACTTGTAGAACACTTGGCACGTTCTGCACTTCTGGACGTACCTCTCGCAATCCTGGACAATTGTTGGCCAGTAATACCCCAACAAGATGATGCGCTGGGAAAGAGTGCGGGACATTTGATGCGCCGCACATACACCTTCATGGACTTCTGCTATGACCCGTTCAGCCTCCCGGTTGGCTAGGCACCTCAGGAGGGGTCCCCCGAACGCCCTCTTGTACAGCTTTTCGTCAAGGACTTGGAACCGGGGTGCCTTGAGCTTCACTTTTCTTGCCCGGTCATCTTGTTCCGGAAAGGTCCCGTCCATCAGATATTCCATCAGATCATACATCCAGTGGTCATCTGCCCCGACCAAGTTTGACCGGTCAGGTTGGCTTGCTCCTGCTATGGCGGCTACTTCCAATTTTTCAATGCTGGCATGATCAAGAATTTCTACCCGGGCAAGTTTTGAAACATGCTCAGGAGCATACTGCGTCAATTTGGAGAGAAGGTCTGCATCTGCATTTTCCGCCCGGGGGATTTGGGCGATCTTGAATTCCTCAAAGCCTTTCAACAAGGCAAGCACCAGGTCCTTGTATTGCGCCATTCGCCCTTCTCTGGCTTCCATGTTACCGGTCACTTGTCCAACGATCAAATTGGAATCAGATTTGATACTGACCCGGTCGATCTTCAGGGCTTGGGCAAGTCTGAGCCCTCCAGCCAGAGCTTCGTATTCTGCCTCGTTGTTTGTCAGCTTGAAGTTGAAGATGATTGCATGGTAAATTTTGAATCCTTCCGGGGTAGTAAAGACTATACCACCCCCGTAACCTTTAGGACCGGACGCCCCGTCTACTGCCATCTCCCACCACTGCTCGGTAGGCTTG